GACAGATTTTCTTGTCACGCTTTTTCTAGGTAGGAATAAAGGTTTTAAAAGAAAGTTTTATGATTTATTTGAAAGGCAAATTGACAGAGGAGAGAAACAGCACGAGAGAGAATGGTCTTTCATCCTGCGGTTTACTTCACAAAGTCCTCAATATCCAGGGCTAACCAGATAGGCTCAAGTCAGAAGCCTGAACTCCATTTCAGTCTCCTTTGGGTTGCAGGAACTTCTGTATGCAGGTGCCTCAACAAGGAGCTAGACCGGAAGCAGAGGCAGGACCCAATTCCAGGCACTCACACATGGAACATGAGCAGCCCAAGTGGCAGCTTAATGTACTGTGCACAATGCTGGCCCCAGAATGAGGTTTGGATTTGGCTTTTGGATTTGTCTTACAATTGATTTATGTTTTCATAAGTCACTGCCTACTCTAATTTCTTCTGCACAGAGTAGAAGAGACATAGCTTCCCTCCACTGTTTCATCCCCTAAATGGCTACCATGGTTGCGTCTGGGCCAGGCCAGAGCCAAGAACTCCATCCTGATCTCCCCCACGAATGGCAGGAGCCCATGTCTTGCTCCATCTTCTGCTGATTCCTCAGGCTTTGAACAGGCAGGTAGTAGAAGAAAAGCAGCTGGGACTTGAACTGGCATTTGTTTGGGATCCCAGTGATGCATGTGGCAGCTTAACACACCATGCCACAGTGCTATCCCCTAATTTCACTGACATTGTTGGTAATTTTTCTACAACTGGATAAGAAGAGCCTGACAAATGACATGATCCATACAAGAACCAATGACATGACATGTCAGAATCAGAAGGCAGTTTTGTGTAACAGTATCAATAACACTCTCATATTGTTAGTGTTATATGTCAAACTTCAGGCAAGTTAATCATGATTTTTTTCTAAATAGAGACCTGTAAATGTACTTCCCTCAAAGTTGGAAATGTCTCAAGAGATGTGCTTTCCAATTTCCAAAAAACGAAAGGAAGGGTGGGTATTTGGCCTAGCAATTAAGATGCAGTTGGGGGTGGGTGGGCAGGAAGCGGACATGGTGGTATATCAGGCTAACCTTCTGCCTGTGGTGACAACATCCCACATGGGCACTATTTTACGTTCAGGATGCTCCATTTCCAATCTAGCTCCTTGCTATGACCTGGGAAAGCAGCAGATGATGGTCGAAGGCCTTGGGCCCTGCACACACATGGAGCACAGAAGATTCCTATATCCCAGCTTTAGTCCAGCCTAACTTTGGCACTGCAGCCATTTGAGAATGAACCAGCAGATGGAAGATCTCATTCTCTCTCTCTTTCTGTAACTGTTTCAAGTAAAATAAAGATGCTTCTCTGGACACCAGTATCCCCAGCTGGGCTCCGATGCTGGCTCCTCTCTCGATTGCGGCTTCCTGCTGTTGTGCACCCCGGGCAGCAGCATGTGATGGGGCTCTGTAGTTGGGGCTCTGCCACCTCTGCAGGAAACCTAGATTAACTTCCGGGCTCCTGGCTTCAGCCTGACCCAGCTCCTGACTATGATCATTTGGGGAGCCAACCAGCAGATGGAAGATTTCTACCCCTGTCTTTATCCAGCTTTCAGAGGAGATGGATCTTCTCTGTACTGAAAGTGCTCTGTGCATCTTCAGAAGGAAGAGGCCGCCACCACCTGTGTCACCGATCTCGGTGAGAGGCTTCCCTGGGGGAAACCCCATGGCCGTGTGACCCTTTATTGCTGTGAGGTGGAGAATGCTTTCTTGGTGTTTTGTATAGAAAGTTCTGTGGCTTGTCTATGGCCATACCACCCAGAATGCACCTGATCTTGTCTGCTTTCGGAAGCTAAGCAGGGTCGGGCCTGGTTAGTACTTGGATGGGAGAGAGCTCTGCGGCTGGCAGGGTTCTCACAGAGAGCTCTCCCTTTGACTGCTTCTGGCCTGGACTACTGTGCCTGCGGGAAGTCAACTGGAAGACCTGCCTGGCCAGCCTCTTCGCAGGAAACAGCCTGCAATGTCTGACACAACAGGAATGGGCATGACCCAAGCACACACAGGGAAGGAAACGCACAGCCGCAGATACAGAGTGGCAGCCCACGGCAGGACTCCAACGACCTGACTCCCTTGGAGTGTGCTAGGTTGAAATACATTCGGCAGTTCCACTAATGACTGTCTTCCTGCGTGCCCAGTACAGATGTGTAAAACCAAGAGCCAGAGTTCACGTAACATAGATTTTGCTCAGAAACTAAAGAATGAGAAAAAATGAGTTCAGGCCTCTGAAGTTTATATGCACTTGACTTTGACAGCTCAGAGTCCTCTGAAGTCACCAAAGGGCAGCTTGGACTGGGAGGCATGACAGCTGGTGAGTGGGCCTGGCTGACCACCCCACCCTAGGACCTCAGTGAACCTCCCATAGCAACCGTGTGGGCTAAGGATGACCACCTGGGCACTCCTGCAGCAGAAAGTGCAGCAGAAATGCTGGCGGTAATGTAAGCTTGAGGGTATAGAAAGGTCAGCTATCTGCAAAAAACTTTCCAGACTGGAGAAGACAGGTGGGTAGAGCAGCCCCGTTCCCGCAGGAGCCTGCAGGAGTTTCCCCAGGGCTGGTACAGGGCTTCCCCTGGCTTGTTCTGACATGAAACACGAACAGCACCAGGCATCCAGACCTTATTTTCTCCCTGGTTAAGTTGAAAAAAGTGAGATGACCAGTAGGTTCTTTGAGCTGAAAACACACTGCATTTGTGACAGGGGAGCAGTCTGTATCCCAGAGAAGGGGGACTAGGCCAAGCGTGTGACAGGTGTCCTGGAGGAAGCAGACAGCAGGGCTAACACCAGCCTCTGCTGGTGGGGGGCGCTGATGGCACCCACTGTGGGCCAGGCTTCCCTCTCATCTCCACCCAGGCCTGCTCAGGCTCGTGCCTCTGGTGAGTTCTGTGCAGACTCAGGTCCTCCTAACGCAAGGGTACATCTTCTCTCTGATCACCTGCGCCCCACAGGTAAACACAGGTCACAAACCCGACCAAAGACTGCCGGAGCACCTGTCTTGAACAATTTCTGAGCCAGCGTCTCAGGAAACCAGAGCTGGCTGGGTCTGGGATCACTGGTGCATGTTTGCTGTCTCTGTGCCCAGTGGTACCACACAGAGAACATCTGCAGTAAATGCCCGTCCAGATGATTTGGGCCTCTCACTCCTAAAGCAGAAGCTCGCCACCCACAGCTCCTCCACTGCCAGTTTGCGTGCTACACGCCAATGCGATTACCTCATTGGCCCCAGTGGCTGACACTTGGAAACCCTGGACTTGATGGCAAGGGGCCATCTACAGAAGCCAGAGGAGGAACAAAGCACAGGGACTCTGCTGCATGGCAGGGCTGGCGCTGGGCCTCTCCACAAACATTGCCTTGCTGAATTCTCAGCTGATCCTCTGAGCTGTGTGTTACTAACCCATTTTACGGGCAAGAAAACCAAAGCTCCAAAAGTCTAGGCCACTTGGGTGTGGCTGCAAGGATCTTCAAACACAGTAAAAGTGAAATCATTAAGACACGGTGGTAAACACAACCAGTCATCTAATGATTCCAAATTAAAGAGCAGGCGTCGCTTAGCAGTGAGGGTGCCTACACCCCACCTCAAAGGCCTGGGCTGACTCCAGCTTGCTGCCCAGGAGGCAGCAGTGAGGACTGGGAGACTCAGGCATGTACGAGACCTGGACTACAGCTCTACCAGCCCTGACCACCGTGGTTATGTGGGCAGTGACCCAAAAAATAAGAGCTCTTTTCTGCCTCTTGAATAAATAAGATTGTGTTTTAACCAAAAAAGTGGAGACATGGACACACTGGTTAAGACCCTGCTTAGGAGGTGTGCATCCTGTGTCAGAGTGCCCGGGTGAGTCCTGGCCCAGCCTACTCTGCAGCTCCCAGCTGCTGCACGCCCTGGCACAGAGCAGGTGAAGGCTTGCACACTCGCGTCCCTGCCACCCTCCTGGAGACTTGAACTGAGTGCCTAGCCCCAGGCATCTGTGTCTCTCTCTCTTTGCTGCATAAATATGGAAAACAAATAAATAAAAATTTAAAAATGTTTTAATGATTCTAAAATAGAACACGATGTATGTTCTTCACCCTTGAATAACAAATTACTTTGGTGTGATGACTCCTCACTGCATCAAATGATGAAGAAATTCTTTCTCCTTTACTTCTAGCTCAATAAAGTGATAAAAATGATATCAGCTTCCAATCTAAGAAATCTAAATTCTTTCTAGTCTTTTAAAGTCTATTTTTAAAAGGCTCAAGTTCATCTGTGTGAAAGGCAGAGCAACAGTCACAGAGAGAGGGATGGGGCAGAATCTATCTGCTGGTTCACTCCCCAAATGCCCACCATCATCAGGGCTGGGTTAGCTCAGAGCTCCATGTGGGACCCACAGATGGGCATGGTCAAGCACTTGAGACATTCAGTAAAAGCAAGATAGACTGCACATGGAGCAGCCGGGACCTGAACTGGAACTCAGGTGTGGTAGGCAGGCATTGCAAGAGGCAGCCTAACCCTCAGTGCTAAACGGTCAGCCAGAATTGGGCGGAGTCCAAGGAGGAAATCTGCTTGTAGTGCAGCAGAAGGCATGCTGTGGTTCAGGTCATCTTCTCTCAGCCATCCAGACATACCAAGTCAAGACTTGCTTCTAATTATCACACTTACTCCATCCCTAACAACCACACAAAAGAATGAGGAGTAAAGAGCTTCCCATACCAGGGCCTGGTATGTCCCCCGTCTACCCTGCATCCCTCAACACACTGGAAGAGCCGGGTCCCTGGTGAAGGTTGTTTCTCTCGGTGAAGGCTGTCTGGCCCTCTGTCAGGGGGCACTGCCTAGCATGATCTGACTGTGCCTCCACTGTAACGGCTTCCAGCTGCCTGCTAGGAGACTTCTCATGCATAAACCCTGCTTCATCTCTTCCACTTGGCTGGAAACCCGGCTTGTAAAAGCAGCACCCGGCTGTGAGACCTGGGGCCCGGGGTTCTGCTGCTTGGAGCTCACCTGTTGGGTTTGCAGGAATATCAAGGAGTGTCTTCAACAGCTTCATATCTTTAATGTTGTGGATATAAATGGACTCTTCCAGGCAGACGAGCAGCCTCTGTAATCACACAGACACATCAGTCCTCAAGAGGCCCCGCCAGATCTCAGTCACTGCTCCTCCACATGTGTCTTAACTTGATTCTAAAGGAGACAGCTTTGGTGACGCCTACGATGAACTGTTTATGTACAGGCACATATACACTTAGCCTTACCTGCCTGCAGAGACGCTTAACATAAAAGATCTTACAAGTCACTTTCTATAGAAATTGAGATTTCTCCTCTCTCTCTGCTAGACCTTTTGGACTTCCTTTCATCCTTAAGACAGAATTTCCGATGCTGATGGAGCAAACTCCGTTTCCCATCTAAGCCAGTGCCTGTCATCTCCCTGCTGTTTCTTCCTGCCAGACAGGCCACCTCGCTCGCAGTGTTCATGAGCCTTCCCCCTGCACAGCTCTGGCTTTCCATCACTAAGTCTTTAGCTTTGCACCCTGGGCCAACAGTCCAAAGCGCTCTGACATGCTCCAAAATTTGAGTGCCAGTACTCAAGACATTTCCAACTCAGAGCATTTGGATTATGGGGATGTTCAATTGGTAAATCTCTACAAATGTTCCCAAATCTGAAAAAGTCTGGACCCCTTCCAGCCCCAAGCCCTTGGAGAAAGCACGTGGCACAGGAATCCCATCCACAAACCTCCCCTGGACCTTTGCCATCAGCCTCTTCTTCCCTGGTCATAGGAACCATATCTCCCTTTCTTGCTGTTCCTGCCTGTCCCAGGCTCTTCTTCTCCCACATGGCTTTCTAGTCTCCAGTGGATGCTCAGTGATAACAGCCAATCTCTCTAGGATACAGAGGCCTTCTCCTCAGAAGCACACGGTCCCATTTGGTAAAAAAATTAATAAATAAATAGTCAGCACTTTTATGGTTTAGATATCCAGAAAGATGTCCCCAAGGAATCTAACAGCCACCACCTCCTGAGAATTCTTAGTTGGACAGATAGACCCACACACTCAATAAGGATCTCTATGCTTATCTCATAGCAGGAACCTGGTATTTATGTGCATCCTGCTACCACACAGGGTATTTACCTTGTATATGGTACAAAACTGATATAGTACCTGCTTTCACCAGGATAGAAAGTCTGACAATTCATGAAGAAATCCGCTAGCACTCAACTGGACTTCATTGGAGTAGGGGCTGGTGTTGCGGCACAGCAGTTTAACCTGCCATTTGCAAGGCTAGCACCCCATCTAGGAGAGCTGGTTCAAACACCAGCTGCTCCACTTTCAATCCAGCTCCCTGACAGTGTGCCTGGGAAGGCAGTGGATGATGGGCTCCTTTCGTCCATGATGGAAGGCCCAGAGGTAGTCCCTGGCTAGTGGCTGTGGCCTGGCTCAGCCCCTGTTATTGTGACCATCTGGGGAGTGAATCAGCACATGGAAGATCTCTCTCCATCTCTCCCTGTCTTTGTCACCTGACCTCTCAGATAATAAATAAATAAATCTATCTTTTTATAAATCTATAATCAGGATTAAAGGTGTTTCAGATAGTTCCCAGAGGAGAGATGGATGCATCCCACACTGGAGTGCCCAGATTCTGGTCCCAGCTCCGCTCTTGGCCCTGGTTCTCTGCTAACACACATTCTAGAAGACAGTGGGGGGGGGGGTGGCTCAAATTTTTCCATATTGAAGACTTGGCTTGAGATCCGGGCTCCTGGCTTTGGCTGCCAGAGCCTCAGCTTCTGCAGGCATTTGTGGACTGAATCAGTGGACAGGAGATCTCTGCTTCTTAAATAAGTTTTAAAATTGCAGGGGAAAGTTAACTTACAAGTTATTTTGGCATTGAAAAAAAAAAACTTTTGAAATCCACATATAGTTTTTTTGTAATGCACATGTTTCATTAACTTTTTGAAAATTTCTTGCATTCTAAGAATGCATTACACATTTATTTGAGACCAGAACCATTCTTCCTTCACAAAGAAAATATTTCAAGAAAACAATCCTCAACAGCCAGCTGAGAAATGCAGAAAGGACACGTGTCTGAGGAGCTGGCCCATGAGGACAGCATGGGGTTTGGCAGCCATGGACCCCTGCCTGGCTGCAGAACCCCTGGGGAGGCCCAGACTGCAGTCTCAGCAGCACTTCCTGGAGGCATCCCGGCTTCCTCAGTCAGCACCTCTGCCTCCGGCTCCCAGTGCCCAGTGCCCAGCCTGCACCCAGGGGGCCAGAGCACACCCGGCCAGTCAGTGGCCAGGGCTGGAGGGGGCAGAGGAGGCACAGGGACCATGAAGACACACCTCGAAGCTGAGCAGGTAGACTGGCCTCTCTCCACTCTACTCTCATACTGCTGGGCCTGCACACCACAGGCTCTTCAGGAGCCGATGTTTGCTTTAAAGACATTCATCCTGAAAGATGCTCGCCTAGGGACTGCGCCCACTTACTTGCCGGTTCAGCCGTATGGACAGGATGTTGCTGGAATAGCTGTAGTTACAGATCTCTGTGCCTTTCTTGAAGTGGTACACGTTCATCTGGCGCGGCTTGGCATGGCTGACCACCACCACCAGGCTGCTGGAGAAGAGGCGCTCCACGATGTAAACGTCCGGGATTTCATCTGCGGGGAAGCGGCAGGGGAGTTACATGGATGACCCAGCAGATCAGGATGTGTACCCCATGATGCAGCGTGCAGCACACGGCTGTGGCAGCTTGCAAATGTTCTCTGGGTCCTGAGCTGCTGCCCTGTGTTAGGATGCATGCATTTCCAAGGATCCCTCAACCAAGGGACCTTTCACTGGCTTCCAAGCTCGCCCTGCCACGGTCCTTTCCAAATACGTTCCGACAACGCCCATCAGCGCATGACCAAAGTAGTGTCAGGACTGCCAGGGCCCCTCTGACGTTGGAATCCTCTCTCCAAAGTGCCACGGTTGGCACCCTATAATATACTTAGAAGGGCTGGTTCATTTCAACCCACCCTTTCCCTGTGGGAGACTGCTGTCTCTTTTCTTGTTAAAAACTTTGTTTACTCATTTATTTGAGAGGTTGAGAGCAAGAGAGCTTGTTTCAGCTCCTTTCTGTCCCATGCCAGCAGCGGACACTCGGCTTGCACTGGGAGATGGACTCAACCCAGAGTTACCTGACCCGCGCCCACTGCCTTTCATGCTCACGTCAGCACACAGTGGTCTCGGGAGCCCGGGCATGCCAATCTGGGAATCAGGCATCCTAACCAGCACCCTAACCAATAAGTCAAATGCTTACTTTGTCATTAGTTGACATAGTAACTTCCAAGGTACGAGGGGATGCTCCTTTACACTGTGTAATGATCACTCAGGGTAATTAGCATTTTCCATCAGCCGCTGTGGTAAAACATCTAAAATCCTCTTTTAGCTACTTCTGTTTTAATGAAAGGGAGAGTGAGACTTCAGAGGGAGAGACAGAAAGCTTTTTCCATCCACTGGTTCACTCCCCAAATAGTTACAATGCCCAAAGCTTGTCCAGATCACAGCCAGGAGCCTACAATTTCATCTACTTGAATGGCAGGAGCCCAAGTTCTTGGGCTACCTTCCACTGCTTTCCCAGGTGCACTAGTAGGGAGCAGCTGGGACTCGAACTGGTGCTCCAGTGATGGGACCTAGCATGACAGGCAGCAGCTCAGCCCACTGCACCTCAACGCTGGCTCTCTTCCAGCTATTCTGAAGTATACAATTCACTATTACTAACTCTAGTCACACCACTGAGCAACAGGGGAGTGAAGACTCAATTAGGAACCCCTCAGAATTCCTGTGCTGTTGGTGGGGTGCCACCTGGAGTGGGTAGTGACACTGTAGAGCCGGACTGCCGCGTGCACTCTGGCCCTCTCCGGACAGATCCTTGTCCTGTTGAAAACCAGGAGAGCTCTTCTGCAGCCAGAAGAAAGGTGACCTGGGACATCCCCGAGTCCCTACAGTGCCATTCTTCTCATATGCCAGCCCTTCCTGGGCTTGGGTGAGTCCCATAGGGAACGGTGTGGAACACACACACAGTAAAACAGGAAAATGGCATAGGAAAAAGGACACTGTACAGAGTTTAGAAGTCAAAATATCATTTATCAAACCTCATTCTTTCCAGAAAACCCCAAGGTTACATATTCTTCACTATGATGATGGTTTAAGCTATTACCCTGAGAAAATAAGAGACCCAATTTCTAAGCTCCCTTTTTATTTTCTTATTTGAGAAAGAGTCTAGCAGAGTCCTCCTCTGCTGGTTTACTGCCCAACCCTGGGAAAGGAGCCTCACCCAGGTCTCCCATGTGGGCAGCGAGGGCCAGTGTGCTGAGCTCGCACCTGTCGCCTCTCAGGATATGTGTTAGCAGGAAGCTGGCACTGGGAGCAGACAGGGCTCAGACACAGGCAACTGCTAGATGGCATGCGATCATTGCAACAAGCAGCTTAACCAATCACGTGCCTTCCCCTGAATTATTTCTACTATTTAACAAAGTGCTTCAACATCTTTGATACAGGCTGTGTAAACAAAACAGTTGCTTTATGAAAACAAAGAAAATACTTTGCAACTGAATCAATATATACTCTCTCCACCGTGCCAGTAGAATGGCAAGTAAAAGAACTGTTTTATGTAAATACAGGGGGAAACAAAAGGCCAGAGGGAGGACGTGTCCCTGAGTTTCACACACACACACAACTTACTGCTGCCGTGGACTTGGTCTAGTTGCTCTACGGAACTCAGAGAAAACAGCTTATAGCCGGCTTTGGTTCCAATCGCGAGGGACCTGCGGGCGACAATGAGAGCAGGGCATGACGGCTGATGCTGCCCTCCCACGCCAGCCTCCAAGGTCCAGGGTTGAGGTCTGGGGGGACGCCTCAGCTGCCGCAGCAGCAGGCCTGGCCAGGCAAGCAGGTGCAAGAAAAGGGAAAAGGTGATTTGGAAAAAGAAGGGAAATGATTAGAAGATGTGAATCCACATGGCTTCTGCCATTAAAGAAAGTGTCACACCTACCAGAGAGGTTGTCTCCCCAGCTGGGCAGACAGGGAAAGTGGGAGCCTCAGCGTATTCACACAGCTCTGCCTCCAACTCAAGCGGGAGGTCTATTTGTTTCTTGAGACACACTTTACCCAGAGGCCTGTTTTTCTTTGATTTTTTTTTTTTCTTAAAGAAATAAATATGCCTCATATGTCAACACAAGCAACGCTGAACAGGTCCTTTCTCTCATCACGTTCCATGAAAATCAGATCATTAAACCAGTAGCTCTCACCTATGGATGGACATTCAACTCTGTTGGGGAGTTTATGAGGGTTTTTGTCAAGTTCAAGTGCTCTGCGCCATGCGGCCTGGGTTGAGAACTCTGCACTGTGTTTCACAAAGCAGTTATCACGACAAACTTATCAGGGGAAACGGAACCTTGGGAAAAAGCCTGGCTTTCTTAATGTTTTACTTTTAATTTTTTTAAGATTTATTTTTATTATAAAGTCAGATATACAGAGGAGGAGAGACAAAGAGAAAGATCTTATATCCATTGATTCTCTCCCCAAGTGGCTACAACAGTGGGAGCTGAGGCGATCTGAAGCCAGCAGCCTCTTCCAGGTCTCCCACGCAGGTGCAGGGTCCCAAGGCTTTGGGCCATCCTCCACTGCTTTCCCAGGCAACAAGCAGGGAGCTGGTTGGGAAGTGGAATATGAACCAGCGCCCATATGGGATCCTGGCACTTGCAGCTGTAGGATTTGCCAGTTGAGTCAACATGTCAGCCCTATGTTTTGCTTTTCAACCAATGGGCAAAGGCAGGCCATGAATCCAGGTTTCCTTGGCCTCATAACTAAAGCAAATGAGGCAGTTCTGCCCATTGCTGGCAATTATAGCCAGCTCTTTCCCACTTGCCTTGAATCCCTCCACATGAGCACAACCCGATCTACAGCATAGTCAGAAGCAGTGTGATCCTTGGTGCTTCCCAGGAAAGGGGGCTGTCAGAGCTGAAATGGACCTTCACTTCTTTATGGACCAGCATTGTGGCACAGTGGGTTAAGCTGCTGATTGAAATGCCCACATCCCATTCTGCAGTGCCTGGCTCGAAGCCCCCTCACTTGGCTTGTGATCCAGCTTCCTGCGAAGGCGTGCCCTGGGAGACAGCAGATGGCAGCTCAGGTACATGTGTCCCTGCCACCCATGGGCACAACTAGGAGGGAACTGAGGTCCTGGCTTGCTTTTGGCTTGGGGAAGCCCAGCTCCGGCTGTTGCAGGAACTGGGGGAGTGAACTGGCGGAAGAGAGACATCTGTCTCTGCTCTATCGCTCAGCCTTTTAAATGAATGAAAATGGATGAATAAGCATAAAGCCAATGCATACAGAGATTCATGTTGCACAGGGAGCCACATACTAAAATAAGCAACTACCTACAGCAAGCCTGGAGAGAGAGAGAGAGATTGAGAGCGAGAGAGAGAGCCAGTCACATTTTTTTCCCCAGAATTCCTTCCCGCCCAGACATTTGTTCTTGCCTGGAATGCAGGGACAGACACGGCTGGCTGCAGGCTCCCCAACCTGCTGAATAACTCCTTCAATGTGTCTGACATTTGCACATGGCAACACTGCACTTGGAACTGAGGTTTGCTGTCGGAGCTGCAGTATATATATATAGAGAGAGAGAGAGGAGTTATTTACTGGAGAGTCAGGGCTACGGTGAGACAGGGAGAGCCAGAGAGCTCTTCCATCCGCTGGCCCCTGGAAAGGCAGCCGGCAGCCCTGGCTTCAGACTGCGGAACTCACAGTGCTTCGCCTCGCCACATGAACACAGACAGCAAGCAGCTGCACACTGAGGCTGGCGGATCTTACAAGCATGGCAAAATATTGTAATTACTGTCTGCTAACACGAACCGACAGACTCAGTGGGTTTAAGTAACAGCAAACCAAGCTCTGTCTCTGGAACGAAGACATGTTTCCATGAGGAAGGAGCCTAGTAACCAGCACAGTTTTCAAGGATCAGTCAACGGCCACAAAAAGACTGAACCCAGAAATACAAACCTAGTCTTTGCTTTACTCATAAGGCTTTCTCTTATGATTTATTTATTTTATTGGAAACACAGATTTCCAGAAAGAAGGCAAGACAGAAAAATATCTTCCATTCACTGTTTCAGTCCTCAAATGGTGGCAACAGCCGGAGCTGAGCTGACCCAAAGCCAGGAGCCAGGAGTTTCTTCCCACTCTCCCATGTGGGTGCAGGGTCCCAAGGCTTTGGGCCGTCTTCCACTGCTTTCCCAGGCCACTGGCAGGGATCTGGAAGGGAAGCAGAGCAACAAGAACACGAGCCAGCATCCATATGGGATCCTGGTGCTTGCAAGGGGAGAGTTATTGAATTGAGCCATCACGCTGGGTCCAAGACTTACTTAAAAAAAAAAAAGATATTATTTGTATCTTTATTTGAAAGGCAGAGTTACAGAGAGAAGGAGAAATGAAAAAAGAAAGACCTTGCATCTGCTGGTTCACTCCCCAAACGCCACAATAGCTGGAGCTAAGCCAATCTAAATCCAGGAGCCAGGAGCTTTCCCCAGGTCTCCCATGAAGGTACAGGGGCTGGGGGACTTGAGCCATTCTCCACTGCTTTCTCAAGCATATTAGCAGGGAGCTGGATCAGAAGTGGAACAGCTGGGACTCAAGTCAGCACCCACATAGGATGCCGGCGCCAAAGGTGGAAGCTTAGTCTGCCATACCACACAGTGCCAGCCATGATAGAAAGCTTTCCATAGCAACAAGACTCTCATCATCGCTCATGGAAATGAGGTTTAGGACAAATATGTTTTAGTAAATCAAATCTCAAAATGTGACTAAGACATCTAGTACAGTGCCAAGCTCCAAGAATAGGTACAAGAAACTGGTAAAGGTTAGTTATCGTTACTAACCTGCCCCAGAAACACCAGATCCCAAACTCAGCCCACATATATAGAAAAAGACCCACCCACACACCTAAATATGTTCAATAAAAGGGGCCTGAATTATTTTAAAATCCAATGTCACATCCTCTGTTGCTCAAAGCAACTGACTGTGGCCAGAGCTGTTATTTATAGGCAAGACAAAGTGCCCAGCAGGCCTGCGCCCAAGAACACAGGACTGGCAGTGCAGAACAACGGGACTAAGCTTTCAAAACCCCCGAGACTTGCAAATAACATCACCGCTGTAGAAAGCTGGGGTTGACTTTGGATTATTTCAAAAAACAAAAATGAACATCATCTTGCTCCCCAAATCTAATCCTGTCACAAAGCAGCTTCTAGAACGTCACTGCTTCCCAACCCTCCAACCCCTTTCCTGAGGCAATGTTCAGTTGGGCAGGAAAACATCACTCAGGCATTTCAACAGCAGTCCCCTCTTGCAAAATATGTCTGACCAAACAACAGAATTTCTCTACAACATCGCGTGCGTCTCAGCCCAGGAGTGGATCCTACAAATAATTCCATGGGTCACAGGGAGCTTTGGGAGAAAAAAGACAGACATGCCAGATGGCTCCGGAGACAGTATGTTGTGACAGTGCATGCAGGTAGATTTCAGGTCATGTTGTAACATGTACTTCTATGTGGACTGTGGTCAAGAAAAGGCTGGGTGAGTGACAAGCCATCACCAAGCTGTGAAGCGCCTCCAGCACTTTATTCCACCCCCACCGCCACCCAAACAAAGGCACGGTGCTCTGTGCAGACTATAAACAAAAACACGACGCCAAGGACAGCCCGGGCCGCTTAGGGTACTACCCCAAGGTCTTCGCACATCACTGCATGGTCAATGTCTGCCCCGCGAAGCCCCTGGCAGCCAGGGCGCAACCTGGGGTTAGAATAGGAGCAAGAGCAGACCCTGGGAGGGCAGGAAGTGGGGCTCAGGGCCGGGGTGCACCTTCCAGAGAGATTCCCCTGGGCTCGCTTCCAGAAACACAACCCCACAAATGTCTGAAACCCAATTCAGCAATTCTGGTGGTGTTTTTTTTTTCCCCCCACCCCTCCTCCTACCAAGTGCAAACAACAACATCCGAAGTGAAACATGCAAAAATGCTCTCCAAAGCACAGAGTGTGTGTGTGTGTGTGTGTGTGTGTGTGTGTGTGTGTGTGTGTGTGTGTGTGTGTGTGTGTGTTGGGGAGGGGGGCTCCTGCTCCCCCGGGGAAGAAGGCAGAAGGGGGTTCCAGGTGGGGCGCGAGCCGTGGAGGGTGGCCCCCCATCCCGGGCAGCCGGCTGGGGCAGGGATAGGCTGCGCCGCGGCCGAGGCCCTGCCCAGATGCCACGTTGAGATGCTCAAGGACAAATGGGAAAGTTGCTCCCGGACTCCCGTCTTCCTGGGCCCGTCAGGAGTCAACAAGCCAGTTCTCCGTCCCCCTCCCTCGCCTTTGTTCCGGCCCCGGCCCCTCTGGCCGCTCCCCGCCCCACGGGGGTCGCTGCTGTCCCCCAGCCCCTTACCCCTATTCCGGAGTCTCCCCGTCTCTCTCAGACCCCCTGCGTCTGCAAACTCCCGTCCCTTCCACGGCCCGCGACGGGGGCTGGGGGAAGGGGTGACCACCCCGACCACGGTCATCCGGCCTAGGCCCCTCCAGGACGCAGGCCCGCGCCCCTCACGCCACAAGTGGCCGTCCGGGCGACACCCCTCCTCCTCGGTCGCGACACTCGGTCTCCCTCCACCCTGCCAGGGGCCGGAGCCGCGGCTTACGTGCAGTCCTGGTTGAAAGAGAAGCAGCTGAGCGCCGCCTCGGCCCCGCCGGGAGGGGCGTCGGTGGCCTCGGCCTCCATCGGGCGGTCGACCCGGGAAGCCGCCGCTCGGAGCCGGCGATAGCCACCTCAGCAGCCAGCCCGCGCCGGCTCCCCCGGGCCGGGCGGCCAGCCGCGCCCTCGCCACGCCCAGATCCGACCAGGCCCCGCCCCCAGCCCGCGCCAGCCCCGCCCCGCCCCCGTCCGGCCCCGCCTCCACCGCAGCTCCAGCCGGGCCCGGACCCTCAGCTCCGCCCTGGCCCCTCCCCCAGCCTGGCTAGACCCAGCCCCTAGCCTTTCCCGGCCCCGCCCCAGCCCCGCCCAGGTTCCGTCCTGCCCCAGCCCCGCCCCTCGCACCGCCCACTCTGCCCCGCTCCCGGAAGCGAGCCGCTTATAGGGCGGGGCCCCTACCGCCTGCCGCCATTGGCCCCGAGCCCATGCGGATGGGGCAGGTACCGCCCCTCTGGCCAATCCGCGACGCCTGGGGGCGGACCCTTCCCCGCGGGTCGCGGCCTGCCATTGGGGGACGGCGCGTGACGCGCGGGCTGCAGACCACATGGTGGTGTTTTCATTGCCAGGGGAGGAAGGCCCGGGAAGTGGCGCCGGCATAGCTGGGACCGGGTCGGCTGGCTGCGGGCCGGGCTCGGCGTCGCGGTCGCCGCCCAGGCGCGCTCGTTCGTGCCCCACCCAAAGCCCTGTCAGGTGTCTCCCTCAGCCCATGAAACTCCCCGCGCTAAGTCGTCGGCGTCGGACGCCAAAAGCCGCGCCCTGGGGCCGAGTCCTCAAGCTGCGTTGAGGAAACGTTCCTGAAGTGAGGCGGCCGCGGCAGGCAGGGCGTTCTGGGCAGCCCCGCCGAGACTCACGCTTGTGTAGGGAAACAGCGATTGAGCCTGCCAGCCTGCAGCTGGGGCGACGGGAGGGAGTGACGCGTGTTCTTCCCACGTGTGTCGTGGAGGGGTGCTCTCCCAGTGCGCCGCGGTGCAATTTTTTGGGTGGCAAAAACGCATGTAGCTTTTGGATCCTTAGACCTAAGGAGTAAGTGAACAAAGAGCACTGTCACTCTAAAGTTTTTTCTGGTTACATTTTGTGGGTCGGGGTTTTTCTGAAAGGCAAATGTAGCAGTTTCTTTTCTCACTCTTGTTCTTTCCACTGATGTTAAAATATATATAGCCGAGCTGGTGCGGGCGCGGCTGTGGATGGCCGTGGAGCTGGCTGCGGTGTTGTGTGAGCTCTCAGGGCAGGTGGAAGGCACTGCTGAGTGCTTTCACTGAGTCATCTTTGGAACCTTTCAAATTCCGGCTCGGCCTGTGCTGCCTTTTTGTCTGGCTGTGAGAGGCTGCCTTGCTAGGGACTGGGTTGCGGGGAGATTGGCAGACAGGGCCTGGAAGCTGTTAGGAACAGCTGAATAGGCAGAGGTTGACAGCGGGTGGGAGCCTCTCAGCAGGCTGTTTCATAAAAAAAAAAAAAAAAAAAAGGCGGAGTCCTGGACAGATAAACTCCTCAGGGCAGCAGCTCAGAGCAGGGCTAGAAGCCTCCAGGGGAGTGGTGTGAGGGTCTGATTGATGGCGAAGGGTTTGAGAAAGTCGGTGTGATGGCAGCAAAGCCCGAAGGTGAAGACAAACCCAAGTTAGTGACGTGGTACCGTATGATAGAGAATATGAGACACAAGTCATTTTAATGTTTCTGGAATGTACATTTAAGAATAGAAAGAGATGGGCCCATTCATTTTAGTGACAGATTTTATTTAGTTATATGCCAAAAATGTTACTTCAGGAGCAGGCTTTGGGCATAGTGGTTATGGCATCACTTGGTATTCCTGAATCCTGTCCTGGGGGCCTGAGAGAGGGTGCCGTGCCGGGTTTGAGTCCTGCCTCATGCTCCTGAGTGGGTTGGGGGTTTAGGAGTCTGGGTCTTTTCCACCCCTCCTGGATTGAGCTCTGGGCTTCTGGTCCTGGCTGCAGTGAGCATTTAGGAAATGAACCAGGAGATGGGACCTCTTCTTCTGCCCTTTAAATAGATTATATATGTAATTTCGCATAGCCTACACAATAGCCCAATTACATTACAAATAAGTTAAATTTATTCAAGTTTTTTTGGAACTGAATGTTACAATCTAAGTTCACCTCTAGTCACGTATTTTTAAAATATATTTACTTTAAAAGCAGAGTTACAGGGGGGAAAAAAAAGCAGTGTTACAAAGAGAGAGGTTGATCTTCCACCTGCTGGTTCACTCTCCAAATAGCCACAATGGCCAGAACTGGGTCCATCCCAAGTCAGGAGCTTCTTGGAGTCTTCCACGTGGGTGCAGGGGCCCCAGAACTTAAGCCTCCTTTCACTGCTTTCCCACATCATAGGCTGCGAGTCACACTGACCCTGTATAGGCTGTGGGCGCCATAGATAGCAGCTTTATCGGCTGTGCCACGGTGCCGACCCTCCCGGAGTTCCCGATGGTGACAGCTCGCTGTGATTTTGAAGTAATAAATGGCAGGATATGCTGATTGCTGGGGAAGGGAGAGTGGCAGAGAAGGAAGAGTTAGAGGAAACCCAGAAGCCAGATACTGAGCAAGTGCTAAGGGCCGTGTGTTCCTTTCAGACACGTTGCCATGGCAGCAGACCCGCAAGCCTGCTGGGCCCGGAGTGCAGGTCCGGGAGAAGGCCGGTCAGCTTTCGACCCCTGCCCTGCCTGGGCGTGACCCCCTTACATCTCTTGTGGATTCAGGTTCGCGTGGAAGATGTCATCCCAGGGCTGCCTCGTCAGGCTTTGATTTTCTAAGGTCAGTACATAAACCCGTATTTTGCTACAACGCCCCCTTACATAATTAGAATAGTATTAATTTTAAAAAGTCAGTCCACTTGCTGTCTGGCATGGGCTTGTGGGAGCAGGGGTGGAAGTGGCTGCTTGGAGGGGCCCCTCCCTCGGGATGCTCTCAGAAGTCCATTGAGGTCTGGAGCCAAGGACAGAGTTATAAATCAATTTACGGGTGCTGGAATCCTGTGATGCCAGCTTGGCTTTTTTCTCTCTCTCTCTTTTTTTTTTTTTCTTCAAAATCCCAGTTTTAGGCTCTGTAGGAGAGGACACTGCTGACTTGCCAGGCTCACAGCCTCCCAACCCTGTAGCAGCAGGTTCACAGCCCACTCACGACCGCTGCGGCGTCAGAGGGGACACGGGTAGGGAAGTGCCATACTTGGCCAGAACAAAATTTTGGCTTTTGCCTTCTATCTTTTAGTGGAAACTCTTATATGTCTATCTTTTCCCTGGGACAAAAGAGGTGGGGAGGGGGGACATTCTATCCGATATTTCCAGGGAAGCTGGCAGAGGCAGGCAGGATGTAGCTGGTCTGTGGGGATGATACGGCTTTGGAAATTCGAAGTCAGGCCGCCACTGGGTAATGGGAAAACTTTCTGGGTAGCCATCAGGTTGTAATTTTAAAATGCGGATGAGGGCACGCACGGGACATTAGCAGAGGAAGTGGGAAATGCGACGTCCTGTCTGACACAGTGTTCCTGACACCCAATACGGCTGGCCAGGACACCCGGCTGTCTATAATTACAGTAACTACTAGGTGAACAAATGCCACTCCTGCTTGCTGCTTTTTATAAAATTGGGTCTATTCCTGTGAGACCAAGTCACAGGAAATACCCCCCTTTCTCTTTCTGACCACTCCCAACACGCAGAGCCTGAGCTGAGATGACAGGCGAGACGAGGTGAAAGGTGGTGGGTGTGGGCAGGGATGTTGGACGGGGCAGGGGGCTGCGGGAAGGATCAGGGCCCGGAATGGAGAGGTTAGCTCGCAGACTCTGCCCACCAGTTCCGGGGTTGGAAGGTGAGGGGTCGGGGCTTGGACTCGGGGCAAGAGGACTCCATGGGATTGGCACCCAGGAAGGCATCCGCCAGGGGGCTGGCTCAGAGCAGGTCCAGCTGGGCCCTTAGGCACAGTCTGTGTGGGCTAACATGGATGCCGGCGTGTGCCCCCTCCCCCTGCAGGGCCCATTCTTTCTGGGTTTATTGATTAAAAGGGGAGGGGCACACAGCAAGCCCACCAAGCATCGTGATATCCTGACTCCACGTGGCGTTCCACTGACGAGGCAACAGGTGACTTGTGCATCCTTCCTGCTCTCCGGCCTTGTTTTGGCTCCACATTCATGATCACAAAACACCAAGGCAGATCCTACATTCTCAGTTAAAACGTGCTGACGGGCGGCTGCTGCCCAGTGGTTAAAGCACTGCTTGGGAGTAGCCTTACTCAGTGAGAGTGCCTACGTCCCGGCCTCATGTACCTGGCGTCTGGCTTCAGCCTCACGCAGCCCTGGCTCTTGTGGGCTCGAGTAAGTGAACCAGTAGGTTCCAGTAGGTGGAAGACTGTGGATTATTTTCTCTTTCTCTCTCTCTCGCCCTACCTTTCAAATGAACTTATAAAAGAACTTTAAAGAGATTTAAGAACTGCTTGCTGATCCACTTGATGCTCAGTATGTTCCACCTGTTTATACCCTGAGCTAAGAATCTGTTAGCTGGGACAACATGGGAAGGTTTAGTCATGAACTTTTTCTTCACTGGGACACTGAAAAACATTGTGTTTATTTATTTACTTGGGAAGGTAGAGAGACGGGGAGATAAACAAAGAAAGCCCTTCCGTTCAGGGGCTCATCCTTCCTCCGAAGCCTTTCACAGCAGGGCTGGGTGGGCCTGGAGCTGCACCTGCGTCTCCCAAGTGGGTGGTGATGACCAAGTGCTTGAGTCATGTGCTCCCCCCTTCAAGGGTGCGGCATTAGAAGGAAGCTGACTGGCAGGTGCAATGGTCTGGACTTGACCCCAAACACTAAGATGAGAAGATGAGAGTATTTCAGTATGCCACTATCTGTCTCTTACAGGGAACTCTTAAAGGTGTGTGTGTGTGTGTGTGTGTGTGTGTGTGTGTGTGTGTGTGTGTGCATTTAAAAGGCAGAGCTTGAGAGAAAGAGAAGAACTTCCACCTGCTAGGTCTCTCCCCAAATGGCTGCAAAAGCCGTGAGCTGGGCCAGTCCCAAGTCTAGAACCAGAAGCCAGTTATTCATTCCATCCTCCTTAGGGATCCGTGCACTTGAGCTATCATCCATTGCCTTCCCAGGCACACTCACAGGAAGCTGGACTGGAAGCAGAGGAGCTGAACTTAAACTGGCATTCTGTTATAGACTCATCATTAGCAGGTTAACCCACCATGCTTGTTGCAACCCTGGTCCTACTAGGATATCATCAGTTCAATCAATGAGGAGTAGACATTGGGACAATGGTTAGGCCACTGCCTGGGACCCTCACGTCCAGATCTGCATGCCTGAGTTTGTCTGCAATAGTGCAGTTTCCTCCCTGGGAGGTGATGGCTAAGGAGCTGGGGACCAGCCAGCAAGGTGAGAGGCCTGTCCTGTGCTCCCGTCCTCTGGCCAGGCCCAGCCCCGGCTGTTACAGGCACCTGTGGAGCAATCCAGCAGACAGGAGGTTTCTCTCACATGCAAATAAATATAGACTAGCCAAAGGAGGGATGTGATTGAGAGAGCTTATTACACTGCCTTGCCTTGTAGAGTGTGACTACAGGTGACACCTGAAACAGAAAACAAAGCTTTAGGGAAAGCCTGGCTTGGAGCCTCCCATTTTCTCACGTCCATCTGGTCTAGTTTCATTTTCTTTGTAGTGTAAACAAAGATCTGGGACAAGTAGGCTTGCTACCCAGGGCGGTTTGTGAGGGAGCCGTCGGTCACATTCCTGCTGGTTCCGCCGTGGCCACTACGGACGCTGCCTGTCCAGGCTGGGGCTCAGGGATGTATTCCACGGGACTGTGCCAGAAAAGCCAAAGGCCACGTGCCAGGGGAGAGTGGGAACACCTGTAGCCCTGCATAGGGGTCACGCCTTGCTTACATTTGCAAAGAGCGCTACAGGAAATAATGCTAAGCATCCTCTGTTCCCAGGAAAAGTGTTAGTCGGCGTTCCTGAGTGGCGTGGACAGGCTGGTAAGGGCTGCCGTGCTCATGAAGCTTCTGGCTAACCTGGAGGGAGCTGGTGTAGGGGAAGTGCAAAAATTCCTGCTGGAAAAAGGTGGTTTCAAAGGGAAATCGGCCGGGAGGAGATGCTAGAAGTCCCGGATGCTTGTGGAGTAGTGCCATCTAGTGGCCAGTAGCAGTTCTAGGCTGGTTGACTGGCTCTTGACAGATACAGGTTTCAGTGATGTGTCCTTCCCAAATTTCTCTCTCTCTCTCTCCCCCTCCCTTCCTCCCTCCTTCCTTCCCTCCTTTCATCTCTCCTCCCCTCTCTCTCCCCTCTCTCCATTTCCCTCCCCCCTCTCTGCCCCTTCTCTCCCCTCTCTCTCCCCCCTCCCACTAATGGAAACCCTACAGTACTTGACTTACCAGCAAGTAGCATTTTTCGGTTCACTTGACCACCGGAAACATGATACCATGGCAACCTGCTAACCTAGTGGCTGGTGTGTGACTAATGGGGAGGCGATGTCCGGTAGGCCAGAGGGACAGAGTGGGACGTCGTGAGATTTCATGACATACTCAGAACAGGAACAGTTTGAAACTTATGAATCACTGATTTTTGGAATTTACCATTTGTTGCTTTTGGACAGAGGAGGAGTTTTGGTGCAGTGGTTAAAAGATTGCATAGGCTGCCTTCATCCGTTATCCAAGCACCTGCTTTAGCTACTTAGCTCTGCCCCCAGTGACAGCCTCCAGTTAACGGACGCCTTGGGAGGCAGCTGGCAGCAACTCAAGCAGTTGCACCCTCTGCCTTTCAGTTTCGTCCCGGCTCGGCCATGGCCACGACAGGAACCAGTGCACAGAAACTATCTCCTTTTTTCTCTCTGTGCCTCTCTGCCTGTCAAATAAATTGTAAAATTATGTTATTCTTGAACCATTGTTGAGCATGGGCAACTAAAACGTCAGAAAGCAAAACTGCAGACCAGCTGGGAAATTTAGATGTGGCAAATTCTAAGAATTAACACAAAGCAGTGAAAAGGTGCTAGGAGGTGTTGGGAATCACAGAAACAGTAGACTTAATGTGGGATGGACCGGGCAGGCCCCAGGGAAAGGTTCTCTTTGTACAGAGAGCCATGGGAAGACGTGGGGGAAGGCATCGAGAACCAAAGGAACACAGTCTCCAGGGAACAGCCAGGAGGCTGCGGTGGCGAAGACGCTTGGGTTCAGACGGAGTCTCAGGGCAAGCGCTGGTCCCAAATGCTGAGACGCCGTTCGGAACACCTTCCCATAGCAGAGGACCTGGGATTGCCGGCCCACTCCTCTCCCAGTTCTAACCATCTGCCGACATGCAAGTCCCATGTGATGGCTCCGGGTGTTGAATGTTGCCACTTACATGGGAGACCCAGATTGACTTCCCGGCTCCTGGCACTGGCTCGACCCAGACTCCTCTCTGCTTTTCCAACAAATAAACAGTGTCCCGCGGGCAGATGGACTGAAAACTGATGGAAGGTGGCTGGGAGACCCACCGACCTCTTCAGCACGTCAGACTTCAGAAAGCCCAGCATCATGCCTATGCGCTCCCTTCATGAATGTTCTCCAGCTTGTTAGAGGTAGGTCGCTGTTCTGCGGGAGCACCCACTAACCTCACATGGGACCCACAGCAGTGAAACTCGTCCTTGATAGTAGACTACGACCTTACCATCACAAACCAGGCTGCACAAGACAGAGACAACAAGATTTAGCTCATGGCCAGCCCACAGCTACGGTGCCTGAAGCTGAATGACTAATTCTGCTGTGGAGGTCTCCCCCAGGCCCTCTCTGTTCCTACAGCATCCTGACAAAGATTTCTGAGATACCGGTTGGTCACCACTCGGCTTCATGTCCCCGCCAGCCCTGCCTGACCTGATTTTCATGTCGCCTGCTTTCCGTTTTAGGAACCACCAAACATGAACCTTGCAAGAATCCTCTCCCGCCACCCACTGCTAACTACGCCATGGCTCAGCAGTGTGTGCACACTCTCATGCTGCAGCAAGTTGATAAGAACCAGCGCTGGCAAGGTTCAGTCCTGCTTCAAAGGTCAAGGCCGACGGAAAGCTGGAGGGAACGCCGAGCTCCTGTTCCAGAGGCCGACACTGTGCCTTCCACCCAACGTCTTTTGTACCAATTAGAAAACCGTCTGTGGTTTTATTTATTCTCATTTTGATTGAAATGTAGAGAGATGGAGAGAGAGCTTCCACATCCTGGTTCACTTGCCAAAATGCCTATAACAGCCAGTGCTGGACCGTCAGCTGCTTCTCCCCAAGGGCACACCAGCAGGGATCTGGAAGAGAAGCCGAGCAGCCAAGACTCAAGCCAGGCACCCTGGGGATGCGATGCAGGCGTCCCAGGCAGAGACGTTAACTGTCATACCAAATGCCTGTCCTGTCAAAGCAGGTTAAAGACAACAAGTGTGGATTGTTTTTGAGTTGCCCTTATCTGGCCCCTTAGACTGCGGCCATTTGGGGGCTACACGTTCATACTGTGGGCTCTTTGGGCTTGACTGGGGATGAATGCTCTTCTCTGTTACCAAGAACATCCTCAGGTTTTCTCAGGCGATCCACAGCTGCCTAGAGAAAGACCAGA